GTGTGGTTCTTTTGAGTCGCCGACACTCACCATCCCGCTCAGCCCCCAAGAGAGGGACCCAGGCTGGTCCTGGCCTCTCCCCCTGTGCCGTACCTGTCAGAGGAGCCAACCAGTCTGCAAGAACAGCCAGTGCTCTTAACTGCTGAGCCATCTCTCCAGCCCTTATTTATTTTTAATTTTTGGGGGTTTTTTTGAGACCGGATCGCATGAAGTCCTGACTGGCCTTAAACTTGCTGTGTAGCTGAGGATGACTTTGAACCCCTGATCTTCCTGATATAACCTCCTAACTGCTGAGATTATAGGCTTGCACCACCCAGTGGTCCAGCAAATTGTACTCTCTATTTATTTATTAATATTTTTGCATTTTAAATATTTTATTATTTTAATTTTTATGAGTGTATTTCCTGCATGTATATGGGTGCACCCATGTTGTGCAGTACCTGTGAATGTCAGAAGAGGGCATCAGATCCCCTGCAACTGGAATTCTAGATGGCTGTTAGCTGCCATGTGGGTGCTGGGAACCGAACCTAGGCCCTCTAGCAAGAGCAGCCAGTGCTCTTAACCACTGAGTCATCTCTCCAGCCTAACAAATTGTACACTTTAAATGACTGAACCTCATGGTGTATGGACTATGGATAAAGCTTTGTTTAGAAAAAAGAAAAGGACCAGGAAGGAAGGAAACCCAGCCCAACTCCGGGGACATAAAGTCACCCCACCCCTTGGCCACACCAAATCAGCATAGCCCTGCTTACAGCTCCCCCTGGAGGCTTGAAGCTGAACCAACAGGGACAAAATAAAAATATTTTATTATGTTTTTATGTGTATGCGTGTATTGCCTGTGTGTAGGTAAGTGCACCCGTGTTGTGCAATACCTGAGGAGGACAGAAGAGGCTGTCAGATCCCCTGGAACTGGAGTTCAAGGCCAGCCTGCTCTACAGAGTGAGTTCCAGGCAATTGGAGTTACAGGGAGACCCTGTCTCAAAAAGACCAAAAGAAAAAAAAATGGTACTAAGAGTGGCCAGGTGTGGTGACGCATGCCTTTAATTCCAGCACTTGGGAGGCAGGGGAAGGTGGATCTCTGTGAGTTGGAGGCCAGCTTGGTCTACATAGTGAGTTCGAGGTCACCTGGGGCTACAGGGAGACCCTATTTCAAAAAGACCAAAAAATAAGTAAATAAATTAAAAAGCCAGTGACATTCTGTCTCAAAAAATAAGGTGAAGAGTGATCGAGGAAGACACCAATTCGACCTCTGCTCTTTACATGGCCCCGCACACACCCATATATGTATGCACACACAAAAGAAATGGACAAGAGTTCAGAAATGTTCAAATTTAGAGTATTTAATTAAGAGAGGATTTTGATAATTGAGCAGAGGGGGCAGAAAATAAGAATGATGCCCAGTTCTATGACTTGAGTACTTTGGTAAGTTGATGACCTCAAGAACCCTAGTGGAGGAATAGGCCTTGAGGTGTTGAATTTGAAATGCTTCAGATGTTCAAAAGGAAGTGTCCAGACAGCAGTTGGATGCAGGGGTCTAGAAATGAAGTGAAAACTGAGTGACTGACATTCAGTTTCACATGTAGATGGAAGCCATGCCTTTCAATAGAGTGGAACCCTGGAGTCCTGTTTAAGGGGATGCCTGAGGAGAAAAGGTCAAAGCAGTTATCTAGGAGGACAGGTGTTAGCCATAGCAATTCAGCTGCTTACTTAGCTGCTCTAAGTCAGCATTTGCTGCATGTTTATATGCCTTGGACGTATAGTAAGTTCGAAGGCAGCTGTTGGGCCTTGAACTTTAACATGAAATTTAGACTAGAGGCTATCACTTGATCACAGTCTTCTGGAACAAGAGGCCTTTCTTGTAGGCCAATGATAGTTTTATTTTCTAAATGATATATTGTGCTTCCTTAGCTTTTTTAAAGGAGGAACTGGAGTCTTCCCGATCTCACCCTCTATCTGGGCCCAGAAAAGCCTGGCCCAGCAGTCAAGTCAAGAACCAGTATTCTACCTATGGGGGATAGGTGGACTAAATCATACATTTCCAGGGCTGTCTGGAGGGATGTAGGGAAAGGAGGGAGCATCTCATGTGCCTGGGATTCAGTAGATTGTACCCACATAGCAGGCACAGAAACACACAGGAAGGCACCCCCGCTCTGTGGGTGAGACAAAGAAGCAGTCCTCTTCCTCGTGTCAGCCATCTGCTGCTTTGCCTTCACAAACATGTCTTTTCTTCTTTTTTTGGTTCTTTGCAGCTTTGAATACATGAGGAAGAAGAATGGGAAACAAGAGGAAAAGGTAAGGTTAGAAGAGGACAAGAGGAAAGGAGGGGAATGGAGGCAAGCTCCAGCAGCCACCAACACAATAAATCATGTCCTGGACCACCTTTAGTCTGGCCCCTTATTTGCAGTGGCACATGTCAATTTCCTCTGTGCAGAGCTCCACAGATGATGACCAGGGTATGGCTATGGCCTCAGTGGACTCAAATGATGGGGACATTTTAGTGTGTTACAGGACTTGAAGGCCCACTTCCATTGCTCCCTCTGGGCAGGGGCTTTCCTTGCTCTAATACCTTTGACTACAGATGTTACCAACTTCCCACCACCTGGGACAGCAGGCTCCCAACTGTTCTGACTCTGAGCAGGAGAAACACTGCCTTTCTAGCCTGCATGATAGCCAGGTAGGAGGAGGTAGGAGAGTACTGGGGCTGCTGTGCCCTGTGGGAGGAAAGAGTACAGGTGGTAAGGACAAGAGTTCTGCCTTCCACTATCTGAGAGACCAATGCTTGATCTTGAGCTACAAGGAGACCAATCAGCCTGACTTCAGGTTGTGGATGGAGAGGAAGGGTCAGGTGGCTGTCCTGTGGTTGATCCTTGCAGTTTTGAACCAGAAAGGCTTGAAGGGCAAAGGCCTGAGGATCTATACCCTGTCTTCCCTGGCCTTAAAAGGTCTTTACTTATCTGTGCTCAGACTGTCCTAATTCTAGCTCTTGTCCATCCTGACTTAACCCTTCCTCAGAGCAGAATCCTAAGCTCTGGCCCTAGATTCCTTCTTGTCGAAGACAGAGGGGTCCTGTTCCTTCCCATCATTGGATTTTGCCAGGAGGGATTTTCAGTGACAGCTGTAATTGTCCTCTGGCTGGATATATGACATTTTTTCTATCCCCCATTTCTTGTCCAGTCTCTCTTCTGTGCTGTGCATTAGAGCTGTGAAGTTATTCTGGCCCAGTCAGTCTTCATTTTCCTAGGACCTGTTCAGTCAGGGTTCACTTCCTCTTTCCCCACCACTGAGTGGACAGTCTTGCCCTACCAGTGGGCCTCTTGTGTGGCTTCAGGCCTGCAGGAATTCTACTGGTGGTTCTGAGACTGCTTCCTAGCTGTGACCAACTGTAGACATTAGTGTGGTCTCTGTTACCTGATTGCTTTATGTATTCTATACCACCCCAACTGCTCTCTCCTGCCAAGGTCACACTTCATAATTACAGAGGAAGCAAAGCTATGGCAGTAAGTGCTGCTTGCCTGCCCCCACCCCACCCACACCCTACTCTAGTGGTGAGCCACCTGCATCCACTCACAGGTGTTTCCTGTGCTCCTTTCCTGTTGCCGGTTTCTTTTGCTCCACACTGAGCATGGCCTCCCCAGCAGGTGGTGAAGGCCTCCGCCAAAAACGCATACGCAGCTCTAAAGCACTGTAGGGTAAGCTCCCCAGTGATCTAGGTCACTACTACCCCCTCCCTCAGCAAGGCAACTGTTGGTACCTAATCGGCCCTTCCAGAGTACAGGCACACACCTCCCTTCCCATACTAGCTCTGTCCACATGGTGTCACACTGCTGTGCTATCACCACAGGTACTGGGACACTCAGGATGAGAGAGGCCTTCATGCCCTGTCTCTGGATAATTGAAGTTCTAGTTGGAGAGGGTGGAGGGTCAATTTCTATAGCCATGGGTATGGAACTCCCTGAGGACCTTCTTAACAAAGGCCTGCCATCCTGAAATCTTAACCCACCCTCAAGTTCCTCCCACAGGACTCTTAACCTCCTGGGGTAACAAACTTCAGTGCCAGGCAGCTGGGGGGTGGTGGGGGGGAGAGGTCCTCTCTTGAGAGTCCTACTTCCTCTAGCAACACAGGTTGGTGGCAGTTGGGGGCCAGAGTTCAGCTCTTTGCTATTTCAGAGGACTGCTCAGAGGAGGTGCCTTGGGGAGGAAAGGGTCTTGCTGTCAGCTCCTCCCCTCACCAAGGATTCCCCCTCCCTCTGCAGCCAAAGGAGCTCCTTTGCTTTGCTTCCCTGATGGGATGGGAACCTACGTAAGTCTGGCACCCACTGATGCAGTTCTGCTGCCCCCTGGTGGCAAGAAGCTCACAGTCAATGCTGGCTTCTGTTGCTGGCTTCTCTGCCAAAAGCCAGTCTAGGATTAGCCTAAATTGGGACTTGTTGGGGCCTGGTACGCCTTTAGCTCCACTCAGGGGCTGTAGTTCCCAGGTCCAGCTACAGGCTCAGCCTATTCAGCATTGCTCCCTCCCCTTCTGTGTCTCTTCTACAAGCCCAACCCTGAGCCGCCTTCCACCAGGATTTCCAGGGCAAGTGCACATGCTATTGTCACAGCTGGAGTGTGGACACATCTGTGTCAGGAAGGGCGCTTCAAAAGGTGTTGGAGCAGAGGGCCCAGGAGTGCAGCAAGCTATGTAGGAAAAGCATTTTTCTTTTTATTTTCTGTAAAACTCTGTATGTAAATAAAATACAAAACCAAGGGATGTGGTGAGGCAGAGCAAGATGGCCAGGCCCCGGACACTATTTGTGGCAAAAGATATCAGAGCCAAGGCTGGGAGGCACTTCACTTTAGGCACTGACTCTACCAACCCCAAGGGTAACAGAAGAATATATTAGATTTTCATTGATAGGAATCTGTGGGGAGGGGTGTCTGGAGCCAGCTCTCACCCTCCCTGCCAGTCCCTGGTGAGCCCTGAAAATGGGGAAAAGGACACTGAAAGTTGGTGATTGGAGAGTTCAGAATGCTGTGCTGGCCATGCTGCTGGGACCAAAGATTCGGGGCAAAGCATCCAGGGACTCCTCTAGACGTCGATGAGCAGACTGTCCTTCTTCTCCTGTGATGTGTGAGGATAAGGTCAAGAGTGGCCCTAGCCTCTTCCAGGCCCTTCCACCCCTGGCATTATCTCACCCTACTCCCATCAGCCAAAATGTCCCCAAATCCATTTTACTCATGTCTCTCACACCCCAGCCTCACCACACTGCTGCAGGCTCTGCCGGGCAGCTTCCCTCACAGCTTCTGTGTCTGTTTGGCACAGGTACACCAGGGGCTCAATACCCTCAGGAGCCTATGAGAACATAAAACATTAAGGTGGGTTCAGTGGAGCAGGTAGGATGAGCCAAGGGATAGAGGTGGTAGGTTGACAGGGATCACCTTGATGCAGCCTAAGGCTAGGCATCCAGCTACTCGAATCTGCACATCTTCATCTTCAAGCTGGTCCAAGAAACATAAGAGAGCCTGGACAAAGGTGAAAGAGGAGACTTAGACACTGGGAACTCTGAACTCCAGCTTTGCCCATAAGAGAGTCTTGCCAAACTCACCCTTTCTCGGAAGACTGGGCCAAGTGACAGACTCCGGAGCTGGGTGCTGACAGCAGCCATGACCTTGTTGTTGCCATGGACTAGCAGGGAGCTAAGGGCCCGAAGCCCATCCTTTTGTAGCCGCCCCTCGGGTGCTAACCTCAGTGCCTTCAGCACAACAGCCTGGTCATCAGAGTTCAGATTCCGCACCAATAACACTAAAAGAAGGAAAGAAGTGTGGGGGTTGGGATAAGATGGCAAAGCAAGGAGCCTCATAGGGTAAGAAGTCTTCATGCTCTATCCACACCCATAGGCCCACCCACAGAGCCAGTTCATTCTGTGGTTGGGGTCAAAGCCTCACCCTCCTCTGCAGTCTCAGTCACATAGGCATCCATGGAGGGACTGTCCAAGGTTTCTACATAACTCCAGAACTGGAAGATGGTGAACTGCTCCCCATGGCCTGGCTGGGGCCTCCTGGGCAGCTTCTGCCCCAAAGCACCTTCCAGGAACTTCACACATACTGCAAGAAACAGTGCCAACAGCTTGAGTTGGGATGGACCCAGGCTTCTCAGAGAAAAGAGAATGCTCCCATTCTAGCTTGGGCCCAGGGGCTCCTTGTCCACACCCTTCCCTAAGGACAAGCCTTCACTGTTTCTCAAATGCTCAGCTTGTCAGTATAGGCTAGCCTGACTTTCACTAAGGTCTTGTCATTGGGGAGTTGAAAAACAAAAGACAGGATAGGTAGGCATCCCACGCACCAGACTCAGCTAAACCTGGCTGGCGCAGGGAAAGACGGGCACCATACTGGTTGCAGAAGGTGAGGAGCACCTGCTCCACAGGGCAGATGAAGGGACTGAGTCCCTCAGTGCACTGGTCCCAAAAGGTCAGGAAGCCGGGCTGAGAGGCAGAGAACTGCACCACTGTGAGGGGTGAGGGAAACCATCAGCAACAGAAAAGGTCAGACAAGGGACAGACAGGCACATCAATAGGGAAAGTTGAAGTATAAACTTCTGGCAGACACCACATCCCAAATCCAAGAGGCCTTTCTTTACCTTCCTGGGCAGAAGTGGCAGGGATCTCCCACCGCCTGCTGAGCTCACAGACTGCCTCAAGCACACGTGCTTCCCTCAGCAGCCTCTCCAAGGCCCATGCCTCCTGGCAGCGCAGAGGCCCAAATGTGCCCAGTTTCTGGAGAACAGGGGTAGCCAAGGAATTTAGACCTCATGGTAGGAATTGGGGGAGGGGGACTACAAATTCCAACATGCATTGGGAGAGGCTAAGGCAGGGAGGAAAGAGTATGGGATATATTACATTCAAGAGGAACCAAATGCCAGGGCCATCGGACACTGAAGTATAGAACTCAGAGGAAGTTTAGAGGGCCAGGATTGGAATGCAGAGCTCCAAGGGGTTTCAAGGGAGGGTTGGGGAAAACTATCTGCCTCACCAGCAGGAGGTGACTGCAGTGGTACAGGTGCTGGGCCAAGGTGACATCCAGGGCTGGACACCCTGTGCTAAGGGGCTGGGCACTCGATGAGTCTAATTTGTCCTCAGCCCCAGTTTCCGGGCTGCTTGGGGGCCTGAGAGAAAAATGGAGTCAACCACCCCAGGAGCACACATCACCATCTGGTCACCAGAGTTTGTTTTTATTAAGTTCCTCCCACCCAAGATGAACAAACAGACAATGTGCAGACACAGACAATGGGTAAGTTCACAAAGGACTTTCAGGAGGAAGGGACTGTGACCAGCAGCAGGTAGCAGGGGTCCTTATAGTCTGTCTTGCTACCTCCAGCTAGGACCGCAGGGGCTTCTGGGACCAGGATGGGCATGAGTAGGGTTGCAGGCAGGAAGGTCTATGAAATGTGGACTGCAAAGGGCGCAGGGATTGGGACTGGAACCTAGGAAGCAGTAAAGGGAGGAAGGACCGGGCCCAACTCTCCAACTGGAATCGGTAAAGTCCATTCCAGGAATGAGAGTTCAGGGGCTGGGACCTATGGGAGACTTGGGATCTCAGAGAGGGACAATGCTGAGGGACACACGATACATGGGGAGGCACTGAAAGAGGTCCTTCAAACGGTAGGTCCAAGGTGAGATCAAGGGAAAGAAGAGAAGCAGGAGGCTCACAAGTTGATGGGGATTGGTGGGAGAGGCAGATACTGCAGAGATGAGCAGAGCAGCCAGAGGCACTGGGGGTAGAGGAGTTGGAGACATGGACATGGAGAACACATGAGGTATACAAGGGAGGAATGAACACGGCTGCACTTGCCACAAGCCCATCCTCACATCCTCCACTTGGCCACACCTGACCCATTCCTATCTTGCCTCTCTTCCAACTTACATGCCTTTCCTCTACCTGGTATCACTTCACCTCCTCCCCTTCATCTCTCCCTGCCCCCACTAGACCCCAGTTTTGCCTAGCTCAGCCTCCTCACCTGTCCCCAGGACCACCACTGTCTTCATCTTCATCATCATTGAGGAAGCTGAAACTCTCCAGGGCATGCTCCACAGTGATGCTGAGACTAGAGGCCCGGCTGCGAGTCAGGCCTTGTCTCTGCTGGGATTGTAAAGGGGGTCAGAACTGTTACCATTGGCTGGCCACCCTCCCTGTGCTGCTGCCCCAGCTCAGCGTACCCTCCTCACCATAAGCAGACTCTCTAGCCGGGTCACCTCCTGCTCCAGGCCCTGCAGCTCAGGGAACTGGCCACGATAGTCATCCAGGGCAGCCATTAGGGCCCCCAAGGCCTCTTCCAGCCTACTGTCTCCAGTCCCTTTCATTATTTCAGGGACTGGGGCTTGAGCAGCTGTGGTGAGGCCAAGTTCTGAATGTTGGGATGCAGGGGCTTGGGATGAGGGAGTGGGGCTCGGGCTCTTAAGGATAGGTTCTGTGGGAGTTGGATCAGGGCTTGTACAGGGCTTCCAACCAGAACAAGCAGGACTCTGGTAGGAGGTGCTGGGTATTGTGGGGTCTGTTTGAGTATAGGGAGTGGAGATTGGGTAACTACAGGGCAGGAGTTCAATGTCTGAGAGTGTGGAGACTGTGGGGGTGGGGTGCATAGCAAGGTTTGGAGAAGGGGAAGGGCTTTCTGATATGGAGATGGGAACTGTGGTGGCCTGGACTGGGTCTGTAGTATCGAGGGTATGACTTGTAGTGGTATGAGTTGACATTCTGGCTTTGTGGATAGAACTTGTGGTAGTGTGAATGGGGCTTGCAGTGGTATGAATGGGGCTTGTGGTAGTGTGGGCAGAGCTTACAGTGGTGTGGGTGGGGCTAGGGGTGGTATGGGTGGGGCTAGGGGTGGTATGGGTGGGGCTAGGGGGGGTATGGGTGGGGCTAGGGGTGGAGTAGGTGGGGCTAGGGGTAGTATGGATGGGGCTTGGGGCACTGTGGGTGGGGCTTACTGTTGTGTAGGTAGCACTTGTAGTGTGGGTAGGGCTTGTAGTAGTCTGGGCTGGGTCTGTAACACTAGGGATAGGGCCTGTAGTGGTGAGGGTGTAGAGCACAGGTTTCTGGGTAGAAACTATACTAGTGGAAGTGAAGCTTGGAACATTGTTGATAGAGCTTATGGTACTATTGCTGGAGCTTATAGTGGTGGAACTTGACAACTCAGAAGGGCCAGAGTCTGTGGCCTTGTTAACTAAGTCTAGCTGTGTAGAAGGGGCAGGGCTAGTTGTACTGAGGGTGGGTCTTGTGGTGGGAGAATGGCCAGTGTCTAGGACAGGAAGAATGCTACAGGGCTGTTCCTCATGGGTAGGATCTGGGTGTACAGGTGGGGTAGGTCCTGGGGCTAGGCTTTCAGAGCCCAAAGCCTCCACTGAAGTCTCAATCAAGACGGCATCTACACTGGCCTCACTGATGTGGCTCAGAGTCCGGCTGTAAGGGGCATGCCCATTGACCAGGGCTGGGGCCATGGCCCTCTCTTCATTCATGGAGCCAGAGCTGGGGGTCTCAGGTCTGTGGAAGGCAACTTGGATGGGCAGGGGCTCAGGCTGCTGCACCAAAGGTTTGGGAGTTGATGAGTGGCGGGCAGTGCCTGAGAGTTGTGGGCTAGATGAATCGTCTGAAGATTCGGATGACAGAGACCATGCTGTCCCATTCTCTAGCTCATCCTGTCGCCGTAACATGTTCTGAAAGAGAGGGAAAGGCATTTCAGAGTCGCCCCTAAAAGGGCCCTAGAAGATGGTGAGGGCTGGGCCTAAACCGTGACTTACATAGAAGGCCTGTTCCCGAAGTGAGGGTGTGTCTGGTGGGCTCTGACTATAGGTGGAAAAGCGCTTAGTGACCGTGGAGGCTTTGTTAACAGTAGAGGCAGCTGAGGGCTGGTCGTCCTTATCAAAGGGGCTGGAAAGGGAAAAGGACATTAGCCATGCCACAGCCCTCCTTGGTCCTGCCCCAAACCTTTCAGCCCTACCAACCTCCAGATGACTTCCAGGCTAAGCTTGATGGTGCCAAGGTCATTGATGTCCACAGCCACAACCTGGGGCAGGGCAGCAAACAGGTCCTTGGTCTCACAGGAGACACTACCCACAACTACATGGTTGGCCAAGCCCTTCAGTTCTGTTACCTATAGCCAAGAGCACATGGTGGGGTCACAAGAGTGCAGGGGCCATGAGCTCCTGGGCATTCAGAGGTCTTGTCACAGGGTCATGAAGCCATGCAGACTCCATGAAGGTGGGAGTTCTCAGGATCATGGGGCCTTGGAGGCTTGAAGCAATCTGGCTACATGGGTTATCATAGAAATCCAAGTGGTAGGGTCATTAGGGTTATAGGGTTACAGCCTTATGGAGGCTCAGAAGATCAAACATTCACAAGGTTAGATCCTGAACAGGTCCCAGTATCAAAGTGTGAGGTATAAGAGTTAAAAAGATTGTTTTCAAAACGACGAGGGTTATGGGGATCATGGAGGTCATGGGTCACAAATTTCCAGGGTCATGATATTATGAAGGCATCATGGGAAAGAAGGTCTCAAGATCAGGAGAGAGTCACAGTGAGTTCACAAGGTGATAGGATTCATAGGACCAAAGTTGTCCTGAGGATCTGGGCAGAGAAATCACCTTGATGGACAAGAATTCCATGAGCAGAGGAAGAAAGACAGTTTCTTCACTGTCCCACACCTGCTTTCCACTACTCTCAATGCGGCCTCTTAGTTTCCAGCGCTGACGGCCATATTTCATGCAGATCTGGGGAAACAGGATGAAAGCAGCTTTGGGATTGGGACCCTTCCATCCTAGCCCCTCTAGGCACAACCTCATACCTCATATTGATCACCCACACACAGCCTGGCGAAGCCAGCCAGCCCTGGGCACAAAAAGGAGAAGATGAGCCATGTTAGGGGGCTTTAAGCATACCCACTCTTGCCTCTCATCTACCCCCACAATTCAGTACCTTTCATCCGGAGATGAAACTCGCCCAGCTGTGCTTCCAGTTCGTTCTCCAAGAGACACATGCTCTGGGAAGGAGAGGTGAAGATAGGAGGAATGAAGAACTGGTCCCCTTACCAGCCCTGCCACACCCTGTACCTCTGGCACAGTGCCCCTCATCTCTTACCTCTGTGTATTCTCGATGCCCTCGAGTGGCCTCAGCCAGGCTATCTCGGGCCTCTCGACTCCCTGGAGATCCTGTGCTATAGGCACGGACCATGTTGTACGCACCATCCCGGAGACGCCGCTGGACACAGTATGCCTCATAGAGCTCATCGATCTGGGAAGGTGACGGTATGGGACTGAAGACTGACCACTGAAGTTGCTCACTCAGGACCTTCCCCATTTTCCTAGGATAACCAAACCCAACCCATTCTGCATGCATGCTGCACAAGTACCTTGCTGGCATGGAACTCCAGTCGTCGCAGAAAACGTTCTATGGACTTGACTTGCTAGGGGAAGAGTTGAGTCAAAAGAAACCTAAGGCCCAGAACCTTGTCCTCACCCTATGAGTTAACCAACCCCTTTCCAACACCATTCTATATAACTTACCTTGTCCAAGTCATACAGGAAGCCCTACAAAGAAAGATAAGATACTTAGGAAGTGTGAGGAGGACCCCAACTTGCCCATCCAGAAATTCTTCCAGTCAACAGAAATGTTTCCTTCTTTGACAAGTCCTGACCTCTTTGCAGGAAGAACTCTGGCCCTCTCTGCAGTACCACTACAATATAATCTCTTGCTGTCATGACCAGCAAGGGTCAGATATCCTTCAAGATTTAACAGAAATGTTTCCTCCTTTGAAAAGCACTGACCTCTTCCCAGGAAGAACTCTGGCCCTCTCTTCAGTTCCACTGAAATATAATCTCTTGTTGTCATGACTGGGGTCTGACCTCCCCCACTGCAAACTTTTATGAGCAACCACTGGGTCTCAAGCAAAAGTGTGTACAGGCAAAGAAGCTGGGATAGAAACACCTAGACCAAGTCACCACAGAAAACAGCCCCAATATCATGGAAGATTGCCTTGTCCAGCCCCTACATTGCAAAGGCATTGGTCCAGGGCACCCTGTACCATCACTCACCAGGCGAGAATTCCTCTTGGACTCTTTTATCTGCCTCTGGAGCTTCTCCTGCTCCTGCTGATGCACTTCCAAATAGGCCCTGGGGAAGAGGTAAGTGAGGAGTCAGCTTATCTCTCCAGCTTCAAGCTGACAGGATGTTGACAGTAAGAAGGGGGTGCAGGACTAGGGAAGTGTCAAACTTGCAGAAGAACACGGGGAGCTTTGGGTGGGATCCTGGGTCACTGCATAAGGAAGGAGTTGCTTACGTCAGTCCCCGCTTAAGGGCAGCATACACCACGTCCAGCCTCTCTGGCTGTGGCACCTTGGAGGCTGGATGGGCCACTGAAAACATCCTGGACACCCGGGAGAGCACTAGGGGCTTCCGTGGGGGCCCGGGTGGGCTGAAGATCGAGATGTTCCTGAAGAAGAAAAGAAACTACCTTTAGAAAGCGGCCAGCAAGAATCCCCCAAATCCTCAATGCGCACCCAGTTCCAACCCCATCTGGCTCTCTCAACCCCACAAATCCCTTGCAGCGTACCTGGGACCGCGCTCGTGGCTGCCGAGGACGCCTGCGAAGGACTGGCTCCTACTGACCCGGGCGCTGAGCAGGCGGCGCTGCGGCCGCACCGACAGGGACATCATGGAATGAGTCCGCGCGGGGCTCCCTGGGGGTGGCGGGGGTGTGTGTGTCCAGCACCAATCGGGTCCCTGAAGAAGCCCCTTCCCACGGCTGGGTCCCACGGCTGGGCAGGCTCTCCCTGGTCCTCAGGTGCCGCCGCCCCAGTGGGCTCCAGCCGCCGTAGTCAGCCCTGCGCGCTAATGACAGGGCAGCAGCGGGAGACTCGGCCTCGGACTCTGTGTGGCCAAGGCTCGGCCCCTACTTCCTGCGGAGGTGATCGCGCAGGGACCCTCCTCCAGCTGGGAAGGGGCAGGAAAGGGGCGGGCCGCGCGAAGAATGTGCGGAAGCGCCTGTTTACCGGGGGCGGGGCGGCGTCCCCAGCCCTGCCCCAGCCCGTCCTCCCCCCCTTCGCCGCCCCC